GCTAGCAACAAAAGGGTCCCAAGGAGTAAGAAAAGACGAGGATATTTGGTTATGACATAAGCGTCTAGGACATGCATCTTTTGGTTACATAAAGAAATTATTTCCAAATATATTTGACCAAGTAGACACTTCAACTTTTTATTGTGATGTTTGTAAGCTTGCAAAGAGTCACAAAACATATTTTTCTTTAATTTCAAATAAAATTTCTCTTCCTCTTATGATCATTCACTTTAATGTATGTGGTCCATCAAAGGTTACAATGTTGGGTGGTTTAACGTAGTCTGTAACGTTTATTTATGATTGTACTCTAATCACTTGGTTATGTTTGATGAAGTCTAAAAGTGAAGTTGGAGGACTATTTCAAAAATTCTGCAAAATGATTGAGACTCAGTACAAAACACAAGTTCAGGTACTGCGCAGTGACAATGAAGGAGAATATATGCAATAAGAACTTCAACATTTTTTAGTAGTTAAAGGAATTGTTCATCAGAGATATTGTCCAAATACTCCACAACAGAATGGGATGGCAGAACGAAAGAATCGTCATCTATTGGAGGTGGTCCGAGTTGCACTGATTAGAGCTTACATGCCAGCAATATATTGGGGAGAAGCTCTCACATATGCAGTATACACTATCAGCCTAACACCGTCCAGGTCTCTTGAGTATAAAACACATCTTCAATCACTTACAGATGCAGTAGTAAGTCCTAAAATTGCTGAACTAACACATAGAGTTTTTTGTTGTGTTGCTTATGTTCACTCACACAAGCATCAAAGAAGTAAGTTGTCTCCTAGAGCTTAAATGTGTTTGTTCCTTGGCTATGTGGATCACCAGAAAGGATATCGATGCTCTAATCCACAAACCAAGCAAATGTTTACTACTGTAGATATAGTTTTTCATGAAACTTTGATATATTTTTCCCCCAAATCTGAAATTCAGGGGAAGAATTATGATAAAGTTCATATTTTTGTTCCTCAAGAAATTGATATTGAGGTCAGATTGGAGAAAGAAAGTTACAAAGTTGTATTAGGAGATGATGAAAACGTGTAACAATGTGATGATCAATAACCACATAATGAAGAAGATTTTGAGCATGTCGAGATCGAAAATTTTCCTGTTAATGCTGATGATATACCATACCAATCGTCCCCTCAAAAACCTAATACAGAAAAAATAATTCTGTCAGATCGTGTCACTAGAGATATCCCTAAGCCTACTTATGATCATGACCTGACCAGTAAGACAAGATACCCTATGAGTAATTATATTTGTAACCAGAATTTATCTAACTCAAATATTACATTTATAAGTCAATTATCTACTGTATCTATTTCTAACAGTGTGCACGAATTTTGAGCTGACTCCAGGTGGAAGAATGCTATGAACACGGAGATGAGATCCTTGCAAAGAAATAAAACATGGGAATTGGTAGATTGTCCAGTTAGAAAGAAACCAGTAGGATGTCAATGGGTGTATACTGTGAAATTTAATGCAGATGACACAATTGAGATATTCAAAGCTAGATTAGTGATAAAAAGGTACACATAAGCATATGAAATAGATTATACTGAAATGTTTGCTCCCGTAGTCAAAATTGGTACAGTTCGAATATTGTTATCTCTAGTTGTAAACCTTGATTAGTCCTTACAACAATTTGATGTAAAAAATACATTCTTACATGGGGAATTATCTGAAGAAGTTTATATGGAGCTACCAGAAGGATGTGGGATCCCGAATACATATAGCAAGAAGGTATGCAAGTTGAAGAAGTCATTGTATGTACTAAAACAATCGCCACGAGCATGGTTTGGTAGATTCACCAAGTCAATGCTTGCTTTTGGATATCAACAGAGCAACCAAGATGATACCTTGTTTCTAAAGAAAAAGGAAGGAAATATTACAATTTTTATTATCTATGTTGATGACATGATAGTTACGAGAAACAATCTAGAGAAACGTAAGGCAGTGAAAGAGTACTTGGCAAAGGAATTCGAGATGAAAGATTTTGATCCTTTGAAGTATTTTCTTGGAATTGAAGTCTCAAGATCAAAGTCAGGTATTTTTTTCTCACAACAAAAATATGTATTGGATTTACTGAAAGAACTAGAATGACAGCATGCAAACCAGCAAATTCTCCAATTGAAGGGGGATTGAAGTTGTGCATTGAAGAAGATCAAACTCCAACTAACAAGGGAAGATATCAGAGACTTGTAGGGAGATTGATGTATCTCTCACACACCAGACTAGATTTAGCTTATGCTCTTAGTATGGTTAGCTAGTTCATGCACAATCCAGGTAAAAAACACATGGATGCTGTTATACGGATTTTAAGGTACATAAAAGTTGCTCCTGAAAAATGAGTTATGTTCAAAAAGAACTCCAACTACAAGGATGTGATGATTTATACTGATGCAGATTGGGTTGGTGCTCTTGATGATAAAAGATTAACATCTAGATACTTTAAATTTGTAGGAGGTAATCTTGTCACATGGAAAAACAAGAAGCAAAAAGTTGTAGCTAGATCCAGTACAGAAGCTAAACTTAGAGGAATGGTTCTTGGACTTTGTGAAGGTTTGTGACTCAGACTACTTCTTCAGGATTTAGGGACATCTCATTCAGTTGTATTATGATAATAAAGTTGCATGTGACATTGTTTACAACCTTAACATGATCAGATGAAACATGTGGAGTTTGATAGATTTTTCATCAAGAAAAGCTTGATAAAAATATTTTGGAATTGCCAAATATTCGATCTAAAGATCAGCTGACAGACATTCTTACCAAAACTGTGACAAGTCAAATTTTTAAGAGATTATTGGACAAGTTGGGAATGCATGACATCCATTTACCAACTTGAGGGGGAGTATTGAGATATAGATATTTAATTAACTAAATTTAGGTTTGTATAGCGGTACAAAATATTGTATAATCTGAATTTCCTTTATTTAGTCTTGATTTATTGGAATAAAGTACTATAAGATCATAATATATCACATCATAATATGTGTAAAAAATAATATGAATAAAATTATAGAATGAATTATATATTTTTTAATTTTTTCACTATCATTTGTATAATTTTTTAAACCCTCCGAAGAAACAACTTACCATGTAAGATTCGGTTAGATTCAACTTGTTGATAATAATATCAAAAGCATCGTAATATTCTTCAATGTCTAACGCAATTTCATTAAGTTAGTCATAAGTTCTATATATATATATATATATATATATATATATATATATATATATATATATATATATATATATATATATATATATATCCAAGTTCTCTTATCATAGCACTACAGCCTTTTCAAGAAAGTAAAGAGCAATCCATAGTCGTTTGCCACTGCGCCGCACATCCTTCCAGGTGCACAGATACCAGCTGGGGTATTAATAACTGAGAAAGAAAAAAAATCTCGCACTCATACTTGGTAAACGTTTTCTCCATTGAATCTTGGAAATTCAATGCGTGTGGGTCTTGTTCCTCTTGAATATAATGTGTGGCGTTAAACAAAGCGTCCATTAGAAGACTGGGTTTCATTGAGGGAAGACTCTCTGATTATTTCTTAGACTGTATGATAAGGAGAAACGTATAGGATATATAGTAACAATAATGAAAACTAGAATAGCGAATGGAGAGCAAAAGAAGAAGGAAACAAGTTTAGGTGCAGAGATACACAAATAACTACTACAAATTCGAACCCAAGATCTTTAGAGTTGAAGATCGATACTCCAACCACTAAGTTTATTATTTATTTATATATAAATATAATTGATTTGTAAGTTATTATCGAGAAAATTCTAGTAATTTAGTGGTTGGAGTATCGACTCTCTAAAGATCTTGGGTTCAATCCTGCCAATGACAATTCTCTTAAAAAATTAATAAACTTCTAAAAAATATAATATAAAGAGAGGGAGACTTCTAGATAAATAAAAGGGGTAAAAGGGAGGAGTTGTAAATAAATAAAAATTATTAATTTAAAAAATCATACTTTTAACAACGTTGAAAGTTTTATTTGTAATAGTGAATATAGAAAAGGAAGATAATTCAATGGTGGATTCACGTGTATTATTAAGGTAAGAGAGAAAAATATTACATGACAACAATTCCCATGTATAGAATTGGTCCTTAAGGTAGTTTACAACCTAAGTCCAACAAGCAACATAAAAGTTCATAACAAAGGGTCCAACATTATAATGAGAATTGAGACAAATGACGAGAGATTCTTAGGAAGGGTTCGTTTGTTTACAGAAAAAAATGTAAATAGAAAGTGAGCAATATAGAAAAATAACGAAAAGTAACCATTTCTCTTATTCAAACACTATTTAATTTTGTTACATTGATCATGGATCACATGATTCTGTTTGAATTACCGGTGGTGAAGCTAATCTCGTTCAACTCTTTTTTTTAACTATCATAATTCATCAAAGGAAAGGAAATACATATCATAAATAAAATAAACGAGACTCGATGGAACATCACATATTTCGAAATAAGATTTTTTAAAACCGAGATATATATTTATGATTTCTTATTAACCATGATGATTATAATATTATCGTATATATATTTATCATTTTAATACATTATAAATATCATAACGGATAATTAAGTATACCTATATTAACGATTATTTATCATTTTTAGTCATCGATATGAGATTGTTGGGTATGATTTATGAAGTTTCATGCTATAAGGATAATTAAACTATTTTTGAAAAACTTTGAGCTGTTGAATTTGCAGGCGAAGAAGAGGGTGTGTGGGAGACACAAGTGTTAAAGAAGAAGGTTATGAGACTTGAGACTTACATTGGACACATGTAGTAGCCGCCAATGCATGAATCCGCCACCAAAGTAGTACTCACCCATAAATAAACGCAGGCGTAAACGTTGAAAGGTATTATTAGTGCCACCCACCTTGCCGCAACTTAAGCTGGCATCACAGTGCAAACCCTCATTTTGTTTTTCCTACTTTTCCTGCATTTATAGTTTCATGCCACTAAATGTCCAACCTCAATCCCCGTCATCTTTTAAATCTGTCAATACCATGTCCACCATGGTTATGGCGTCAGTGTGTCCACCGTTTTATCCACTCCACCGCATCACGCTGCTGCTCCGCCATCTTCGCCAGTCAACCTGGCTCACCCACCTTCACCGCTACCACCCACATCCCCATAGCCGCAACCAGGTGGAGCGACTCTTCCGCCACATTGATCAGCTTCAAGATTATATAAGCCGCCACAGGCTCCTCCCTACAATGCCGAGTCACCGTCCTCGTCCTCCTCGCGCTCCCAACCACAACAACAACGACCACGTTCTTCAACTTCACCACCAGTTCGTGGAGCTTCGAAGGATCCACCAGCACCAGCTCCGGGAGTCACTCACCAGAATCCGGCACTGCATAAGGCCACTCCGACAGTACCTGGTTTTGTACCAACCTGACCAGCTCATACGCTACCACCAAAGCATGAATATCCTCGACATTTTTACCACCCACCTATGAAAACCACCTTAAATTTCTTCATATTTGTGCTGGTCAACAACAATCAATTCTTCTGCAATACTGTTTGTTACCACAGTCTCTCATTTATCGACTCCATCAACGCAAAGCATAATATGTACAAACTACCCTCAGTATTGTTATATACAATGCCTTGATTGTTTGCCGGGAACCCCATTAGGCCCGTCTCTAATACATGGAAATAATGATTGTTTATATTGTATTGTCATTCCATCAGCACAATGGTGTTTGGGTTGATATTTGTATCGTATGATATTCTAGTTTTTGGGTTTTTTATGTGATATTTCTCCTTCATTATTGGCTTTCCGTCGTTAATCAAAATGTTATTCTACTTTAAAAGATTAAGCAAAATGTCTATGGAAAAATATTCTTAGAAAACTTATTCTTCATATATACACAATTATTCTACAACTTATTTTAATAAGATAATAGTTTATATTTAAAAATTATAATTATTATATTATTGATAAAAAAATATTTATCTGGATATTATGTTCATATTCATGAAAATTGACATAGACAATAATTCTTTTATAAACAATTATTATTACACTCTATTTAATAATATAGTAAAAATAAACATAAAAATTTAAAATTATTATTATTATTATATTATTAAAAAAATTTCTCAGATCAACGTTTGATTTAATAAAAATATTTAACTTATCATTTTTTCATGTTTATGGATGTACATATATAGAGGAAATATAGAATTTTATTAAATATCCGTTAATTTAGAGATTAAAAATATTTAATTTTTCAAGTTAAATATAATTTTAAAATTTAAATCCAATATTAATTTAGTTAAAATAATTTTTAATTTAATTATTGTAATAATTAAATATATTTTTTTATCTTTAAATTGGCAAGTTTAGAGCAAGTGAGGTTTTAAGGGTGAGGGGAGGCCCGGAGGGTGCCCACACTGTGCTACGCCACGGGTACGGCGGTACGCATGACGATGTTTACTATAAATTATTCCTGTTGCAACTAAGAGACTATTTAATTACAAAAATGATATCCAAATCTATACAATTTTTAAAAATAACCCATTTTTAATATTATAATAATAATTTTAATTTATTTTTATTAAATCTTTTTACTATTATTATATTAATAAAAGGGATTGGAGGAGGAATTATTGTCAAAATATCATTGCCCATTTAATTATTATGAAAGGAACAATAAAGAAAAATTATAGAGCGACATCCAAAATGCTCAATGATATCAACGAGAAAAAAATGAAATATATATAAATTTTATGAAGTGTTAGATTAAATAGGAAAGATGTTTAAAAATAATGGATCAATATGCATGTATTATTTCTATAATGTATAAGATAGATGCCGAAGAGGCTGAGAATCAGGCTATATTACTTTTATTAGGATTGTAAGTTAATTCACATTCAACTGAAATAATTTCTTGAGGGCTAGAACCATTACTGTTGACAAATTATAATCATGCAACTTCAGCTGTTAAAGAAAATGTGGTCATAGATGCATATCACAACAAAACCTCCCATCTAGCCGTCATCAAACATGTTATAAAGCAAGCATATTTGAAGCCAAATTCTTTCTATTTAACTCCATGCAAGATAAATATCGACGTCTAACAACGTTTCTTTCAGAAATATTTGGTCGGAATTGAGTGGGCATTTATACAAGAAAGTAGGAAAAATAGAGCCAATTAGGCAGGGAAGGAATAATTCCCAGATAGGAAATGCGTCCAATCCATGAAAACTGTCTTATCCAAATCAAAAGGATGACAAACTACTTTGGGCAAAATATTTTTAACAAATAAAATCTAACTCAACTTTGCTAAACTATCACTCGTTCTTCTGTTGCAGTTTCGTCTTGCCAGGAGCCTAGTCAAAATGTGGTGCATTGTACACAATGGATTTGATAGATATTCTCGTTATAAAACAAACCCCAGTACCTCACCGAGCAATTATCATACCAGATGCTCTAGTTTATTGCCTATTTTCAAACTTGAAGGCAGCTTCTCCCAACTTTGTTTTTTACTATTTTCCAGTAATAGCTTTAGTTTCTTTCATCGTCATTGGTGACCAATAAGTATGTGTGTATATAAATATATATATCCATGTATATACGTCTTCTGGGTGATGGATTATCAACTTATCATATTAAATCAGCATTGCAATGAAATCTAGAACCGTCCACAATTAAATGAGGGAAATAATCATTCTCAACTCAAATTTATTGCTTTTAAAAAAAATTGAACTTAGATTAAGAAATATAATAAAAGTCCACATTTTTACAGAAGGATGGTCCATAATCATAGATAAACTTATCAGGCCGCAGCATGAACTTCTATAAGGAAAATACATGTAACAGTTTGTGAATCCTTTATCAAATTTATCCATTCAGCTCATAAATTTGAATCTGGGATACTAAATTATCCTCCAATGTACATATTGACAGGAACGATCTTGATAGTTTCAGAGCTCAGAAAATAAATAAACTGGGAGGGTGACAATTAGGATCTGCAGGATGGTAGAGAGAGGCCTCCACAGCAAGCAGCGATTATTAAATAAAGCACAACAACAATCAAGCATGTCAATAAGGCCCTGTCAAAGACCAAAAAACATAACAGTCAAGAAACTCAACCTTATAACTTCAATCCAAACCATTTTTGGCATCCCAGATCTAAAATATATACTTTCCAAAATTATATTTTCTTATATACATTAAACGTATGAATAAAATTTACTCACAGTAGTTTGAAATTTTTCATCCAAAGAGCTCTTCGAAGGCGCTTTGATTGTTTCCTAAAGTGGAATGCACTGTCTTGCATTGTTGCTGTCTTATCAACAAGAAGCTCAATCCGGTCACCTCTCTCCAATATTTTTTCTATATTGTCCACCATGATAGTGCGTATCTGTAATATAGATTGAAAGTTCTAATGTCACCAACAATGTAAAACTAAGTCAAGGGACTCAAATAGACAGAGAAATATAATGAGAAACATCAATAGAGTAAGTGACATTGCAGCATCTATACATTCTGAAATCCAAATGCTGTTCAGAAACATGCTTGCAAATCAATCAATACACTACAATTTCCAGGAAAAAAGGTAGATATTTATCCAATAAGCATTCTTATCTATCACTCCATGGATGAGCCAAGCACCTTATAAAGGCATTGGAGCATTCCAAATCAAGAGTTATACCACCTCTGCTTGGCTCACCAACTTTCCATAAAACTCATCATGGAAGGGGCACAAACAAATATACATGACATTTGTGTTTTTCTTTGGTCCCTCCAACAAACCAGATTGCTGTACTTATTACACAACTAGATTATATGTTGGATAAAACTATCTGTCAGATACAATCCATAGCTAGGAAAAATGGGAAATTATCAACAAAAAATATGGGTGCAAAATATGGGTGCATATAAACCAGAGTACAACTTTATCTATCATGTTCTAAAACTTTATTCTCCCTTCTACCAGTGCTAGATAAATAATTATGAGCAATCATCATACTAGTATGAACAATCATTTGTTATGTACTTGCCTCACCAACTTCACCCCTCACACGATTGAGGGTATCAGCACTCTGATTACTAGAAAAAAATTCCATCTGCTGATGCAAAACCCTTGAAAACTCATCATTCATTGCATAAGCTGGGGCATAATTAGCAACTCTACTGTAGTTCTTCATAAACCTCATTTGGATATCTTCCAAGTAAGAGAAAGGGACTCTCCCTGGATACAGAGAAAATGAGTCAAATCATACTAACACTTGAAAACAGAAATGTAGACTACACCACTTGGACTAATTCTTTAAGTCAGTGTTTACACTTAATGGTTTTGACAATAAATAGAAATTAACAACTTCGACTAGTAATAATTAAACAGAAAGAACAATGGTTAGTTTCAACTGCAATAAAACATAGTGTACGCTTAAATATAATTAAGCATTGAAGATGATATTCTATTATTTAGAATTATAAACAGACCCTACCCGCACTGTGATGGAAGCACTATTAATTAAAACCTAATTTTATTAGGTGATCTAAGAGTGCATTAGTACATAGAAATTAGAAAATTTCAAACAGGAGTAAGCTAAATAAGACACAAACTGTGAAACTTAACACAAAGGATAGCCCTTGTTTTTGAAAAAAATAATTTGGTGCAGTAAAAAACTCCTGTGAGATGGCACTTGGTTCCTAAATCCTACCGTTACTGGCAATCAACACTATATAATAAACTTTTTCTGGACGAGTTCCTTTTCTTGTGAAAAAGCGTCTTTCAGAGGCATTAAATGTGTTGTATCGTTAGTCGTCAACTCGTCAATATCAGGAAATCTTAAATAGGGGGCACTAAAAGGAATTTATTCCCCAACATTTAGTAAAAGCTACAAACAACTCTCAACAAAAACACTCTGCAAAATAGTTGAATTACCACGAAGAACTGATACAGAAACAAGCTTTCAGACTTCAATCACAGCGTTGTTCAATTTACTAGACCAACGCTAGCGGTTTTTAATAATTTTGTATATAAATATGTTCTAAAAAAACAATTATCTATAAATATAATTAAAGATATCAAGGCCAAGCCTTATTTCCTCTCCAGTCAAACCCTAGGGTTTTTAATTTGTTTTCCTTCTCTCTTACATGCGTTCTCAATCGTATTAATGCAGAAATTTCCATCCAAGCAAAACAACGCCTCTAGCTACAAGGAGTTCAAACTAGCATCCAACACACGTCACGTGTCTTAACTAGATCCTATGTTTTAACTGAAAGTGAATCGAATTGAATAACGACGAAATTAAGACTCCGATTAAGAAGAAGAACTCACTTCCGAAGGTGTCGTTGGCCATACAGACGTAGGTGATGCCATCAGATCGGAGTATATGAAAGATGTAGCGATCCTGAGAGAAGCAGAGCCTGGAGTCTGACTCCGCCGGAAGCTTTTCGAGGATGCGGCGGACGACAGCGCCGGTGTTGCCGGTGACGGCACTGAACTCCGCCAGCACTACCGTGCCTCTGGCCACCAAGGCATAGAAGATCGCCATCGGCGAAGAACTATCCAGAAGATCAGGGAGAACGTTCTCTGCAGCTCCTCCCTTTCTCTCTAGCTAGATCTTCGAATTGGAAAGCACAACCAGGTTGTTGGTAACAGAACAAAACGTTAACAACTTGATAATAGAAATTTGTAATTATTACTATTATTTAGTTACTATATTATCTATATCTATAACAATAAATAAATAAATTATCTAAACAAAGGAATACCTTTACCTTATTAAGAGTATAAATATTAAATCCTACGACAGTATAAGTTTAATGTAGAAGAAAACCACAATATAATAATTTTAAATAAAGATAATATAAAAAATAATAACAATATAATTTTTTTGAAACAAACATAATTAAAAAAAATTCAAAACTTGATTGTTTGTTATAAAAAAAAACATATCAATTTGATTTTGATAAAATGAGTTTTAAAAGTTATTTTTATTAATTTTTTGTGTTATTAAAAAAACATATCAAATTGATTTTGATAAAATAAGTTTTAAAAGTTATTTTTATTAATTTTTTGTAATATAAAATTAAAACTAATAAAATATCTTTATTTTTAATTGTTTGTTTTAATTATAATATCAATTTTTTTATTAATAATTATATCATATTATTATTTTTATTTTCTAATATCATGAAAATTTTTTTGTTGGAACTTTCGTTCATAACTAATATCGTTTTCTATATAAAATAATTTTTAAAATTAAAATTATCAAATAACTTTTTAATTTTTTAAAATTATCCTATAAAACTACAAAAATAAATTAAACAAGTTTCGACATAATTTGAAAAAGTATAAATTTTTTAATATTTTTTTTTTAAATCAACCAAGTTGTTATATTGTCAAAGTCTGTGACAATAAAAAACAATTCTATAAAAATATATATTTTTTTATAAATAAATATCATATTTAAATACATCCTATTGATATTCGATATAAACCTTCAAATTGAATGCTGTGGTTGGCATTCTTCCATCAGTGTGGCACGTCTGTACGGGCAGGGAAGGATAAGTTAGGATGGATTTATTACTCTTGTATTTATTTAATTTAACTTTTGATTGAATAGTTATTTAAATTAAAATTTAATTTATTAAATTTTAACATATGAAATAAAATTGAATTAATATGAAATTAACTATTTTATATTACTTTAAATGTCACATATAATTAAATTAAAAAATAAAAAATGTAAATCTTAAATTAAAAGTTATGTTGTAATAATTTATTTATAATAATTTTTAATATTATATAAATTATTATTTAAGGAATAAAATTTTATCGTTACCATATATATTAAAAAAACTTATTTAAAAAAAAAAATAGTAACACCGAATCAAAGTATCTCAAATCACATACCTGGTTGACCATATCAGTCAACGCACATGTTATGACCTGGTTGGGGAAATGTCATTTTCGGTCTGAAATAGGATAAGCATGAATAAATAAATATTATTATTTTTTAATATTATGCAAAATTATGTAATTTTTATTCATACAGTATAATGAAATTTATATAAATATTCTCTTTTAAAAATGTAGTGAAAGAGCTTTATATAATTTTTTTCATCGTTAGGATAAGTGTCATGATTATTTTTTAAAAGAATAATAGAAATGGACACTGTTTCTTTGCTGGGAATTGGGCTGCTCACCACCATAATTAAACTTTTATATTTTCTGGTTAAGAAAATTTTAAAAACATAAATTAGGAGAAGGATGCTCCCAAATGCACAAGTATGGAAACTTTAGTCCTGATTTGATGCAAAAGTTGTTAAGTCACCGAGTGAGTGTTTAACCTAATAAAGGAAGAGTGACAATAATATATGAACAGGTTAGGTGATATTTAATTAATTGTGAGTTAAATTGACATAAGAATAAGAATAATTTACAAAGGTGGTGGGTGTGAAAAGAGATGGACTTGATATTGAAATTGGGTAAAAGTACTGGGAAGTGTGGAATCTAATCTATCTGAAAACAAATTGGGGTTAAATAACAAAACACCTTCTAAGTATGATAATGATATGGTATTTTGACTAGCTATGGTTGATGTCAAATTTTAATGAGTCATTAGTTTCTTGAGTCTGAGCATAAGGACTTTGAGCTAGACCCAATTGAATTGTTCCCATTCCAATTCCCATAAAGGTTCTTCAAGCTGGACCTCATTATTATTATTCTGCTGCTCCCAGTTTGTGCTACTCTGAGAGGGTTCCAGAAAGTGAGAGATTTGAGATGAACTTGGGTGAACACGTGCCCCACCAAATCTGTTCTCAGTTCCATGAACCCGCCTCTCTGCTGCTTCTGCTTCTGAAGGACGTCGATCAAATGCTCGAAAGCTTCCAGACACGATATACACCCGATATAAGCTGAATTCACATCTCAACTATACACCATATTGGAGATGATGTTAATCAATATGAAAGTTATTTTAAAAGTAATACAATACACCATATATGAAAGTTACTGATACACCTAATTAGGGTAAAAATATATATATACCTGAGGGGTGGCAGGAAAGGATTGGTGAGGGATTGAAATGGCTCTATACTCATTCATCTTCCATTTGGTTTTTTTTCCCATAGGGGCTTTTCCTTTGTAGAAGACCATGGATTTCTTGACCCCAATGACTTTGTTATCAGAAGAATAAACATAGCCAGGAGAACCAGTAGCTTTCCAATACCCACAAGCTGTGGTTCTGCTAGGTCTCCCTCCCCTGGCTTCTCTCTCTTGGCCAGGCGAAAAGAAAAACCATTGCTCGGTATCCCCACGACAACGCTCCCCAGCAAGTGCTGCAAACAACCATTTTACCCAAAAATGAGTCAATCATGCAAAAAACTTGAAGATAATATATAATATCCAAGAGGGAGTGTAGTGTACAATAGCGTAAGTTATATAATCATACTTGGGAGGTTCCAAGGCTCCACTCCATTTATATCAACAACTGGGATAACTCTGTCTATGGCTGCAGCATTTCTTAAACCTTCTAGCTTGTTGTGTAGGTAGAATCCAACAAGCTCTTCTTCTGTTGGGAAGAATCGAAAACCAGGTGCATGATCTTCCATAATATTTGTCATATGAAACAAGAACTGGTATACTAACTTTTTATGTCTTTTTTACTTTTTGCATATTCGAATGAAGTAAATATATATATATATATAGAAACACATGGATGCATCAGAAAAAGAGAGAGGCATAGGGAGAGGGTGGTGGGGCAGAGAGATTCACCGTGTTAATTTAGAAAATTGGGAAGTTTTGATGGAAATTTTGACGCGGTTATGGGAGGGAGAAAACGTCTATGCTATCCATATGTGATACCTTATGATGGCTACATACATCTATCCAATGAAATATCTTTTTGAAAAAGTCCTCCTCTCCCACAAACCAGAAGACAAAGAAAATAATAATTCCCTTACTTCTTTATACTTCTCAGTTGCATATCTACATTGCTATGTGCAATCATTTTATGTTAAGTGAGATAGGTTTTGTCTAACCAAACCTAATTACTAGTGCTGAAGCCTAATTTTCCAGGGATATTTGTCAACATGTCAATGGCCTTATTTGCTTATTAACCAAGCAAGCATGCAATCTCACAAGTGGAATAAGTCAGATATGTCATGTATTATGTTTTCTTCTCCTCTCTACAAATACCTTTCCATAGTTTTTATTGTATCATTGTTTTAACAAAACAATTTACTGTTTTCGTTTTCTGTTTTCTGTTTTTTTTTTGTCTTAATTTCGAACTCAAATTATCAATCCTACTAAATAAGTTGGTAAACAAAAACATTTAATATTCAGTTTATACTCCATTCTGCGTGTTGACATTTGTTTAGTCTGCGAAAGGTGTCTTCAACGTGGACTTGTTAGTTAAACTTCTCCTTCTCCAGAATTAATATATAAAATAAAATATATTTTTTTGAAAACTAAAATTTATTTAACTATATAAAATTTTGTGTAGAATTTTTTTTCAAGTAAATTTTTATTTTTTTTAATTGATGCACAATTTAATTATAATATGTGAAATTTGTTTAAACACGATTTAAGATTAAAAAAAGTAATAAAAAATAATATTATTTTGACTTATACTATAACATTTTTTCCTTCGTTAGGTTTGAATTATTAAGTCACACAGCAATTTCTAGCATTACCTATATAGGAGGAAAAAGGGTGGTGAAATATTCATAAACTTCAAATTTTAATGTACAAATATAGTTTATTTTTCGAAAGAAAATTTCAAATTCTGTTGTAAACCAAAAGCATTTATAATTTCCAAATATTTTTTAAAAATTTAATAATCTAATAATATAAAGGTGCTGATTATGTGGCAAGAAGATGAACGTGTGGGGAAAGTTGGAGAAAATTGTATTTCTTACCATTAACGTATTCTATCTAACTCATTATATATATATATATATATATATATATATATATATATATATATATATATGAAAAACAACTATTTTATAAGAATTTATGATATTTAAGTTAATATAAAAAAATAAATAAGAAAAATAGATGATTTCTGAAAAGAAAAAAATACATTATCTTTTATAAAATAATATTGATTATAATCATTCGTGAATTAAGGAATATTTTCTTTATTTATGGGATGTTTATATATATATATATATATATAATATATATATATATATATATATATATATATATATATATATATATATATATATATACACACGAAAAACAACTATCTTATAAGACATATTTAAGTCAATATAAAAAAAATAAATAAGAAAATTAGATGATTTCTTAAAACAAAAAACACATGATCTTTTATAAAGTAATATTAATTATAATTAAACATATTTATCTATATCTCGAATATCCGAATATCTCAATTAATATGAAATACTTGTCCAAACATATGCCTCTGTTTTAAGAATTGAGTATATTCAATAGAGTTGATAACGAACCTGTTTCTTATAACACATGAAATATTATTTACATTTTAAAAAAATTATCATATTCATTTTGTTTATATTTTTATGTAATATAAAATCATTAATAAGAAATACTATAATAACAAAATATTTTCTATCGAGATATTTAAAGCAAAATAAAATAATATGGTAATTTGAAAATTTTCTTTTTAGAATATTTTTTTCTTTTGTTTTGAATGAAATAAAAAAATATCTCACTATCTCCTCTTAGTTTTCGTTAGGTTCTTGTAAGGAAAATTTGAAAACATTGAATACTAACTGAGTTGACACTTGACTTTATGATATGATTCTATTTTTGTATTTGGGGACACTTGAGATTCAAATACACTTGTGGAAATATATATTGTTCTAGAAAATAAAATTATTTACTTATTCAACATTTAAAAAATGTGATTAATGTTAGGTTTTTCTGAAGGGTAATAATAGGAACATTCTAATAAATGAGTGATGAACCAACTATATAAGAGAATATGACATCACTCTCAACCCAAAACTTTAAGACAATAAGTTATGAGTCTTTCTCACTTATAAGTTACTCAACTTTTTCATTTCTATCAAATGTGAGACTTCAAATTCACACTTGAATTTTCAACATCTCTCCCTCAAGTGTGATTCTCTTTCACATTGGTATACCTCCTCCTCGGAAGCATTTTTTAGCCATAAATATCTAGTGATGACCTCACTTGTACCGTCATTCAACTTAACAGGACTCGTTTGTCTGAAACCCTTGTTAGGAAGACTTTCGACACAAGGACTTTTCACCTATTATACTCAACTGAGCCAATTGCCTGAAACCTTTGTTAGGAAGACTTTCGACACAAGGATCTTTCACCTACTATACTCAACTGAGCCGGTCACCGAACGAAGTTAGGTATTTCCGAGGGGGCTAAAAACAGGGAAATTCTCACAAATGGGTCATGAACCAACTATATAAGTGAATATGACACCACTTTCAACCAAAAACCTTCAAACAATAGAATATTAGTCTTTCTCAATTATAAGTTACTTAATTTTCTCATTTCTATCAAATGTGGGACTTCAAACTCACACTTGAATTCTCAACAATTAATTGTACACCAATATCAAGGATGAATACCGAGTAAGATATTCCAAATCTTTATTAACCATGACTTCGAAAAAAATATTCATTATAAAAAGGTAATTTTATTTTAAAATTTATACTATGAAAGATATATTAGTTAAGTATTAAATAAGTTTTTTATATATTTTTGTTAACACAAAAAAATATTAATTAATTCTAAAATTTTATGAAATTATGATAAATTTTGCTTTCAAATTGTTTAAAAGTATAAACAGAAAGGCTTTGTAATAACAATGGTCAATTCCTAAAATAAACCATAAATTATTGAAATTATAATATTTTTTTCAATTACTTATAAAATAAAATAAATATGAATCATCAAAACTAAAGAGTATATTTAGGAATAAAATAAATACAAAATTTATAAAAATAAAATTATAATTGCATAAAAAACACAAAAATTATTATGAATCAATATGAAAAATGTTACATGATGCACAAAAGTCCAAAAAAATGCTGAAAAAAAGAGTCATATTTACATTAAAAATAGTTTATCTACGTATATATGTCGTCGTCAATGTCATGTTTACGTAAGGCCATGCGTCATCATGGTACCAAAGACCCTTTCCTCTTAAAATAATTTCATGCGTCTTCCAATTTTTTACTTTTGGTTTTTAACCTTTTATTTTTAATTTACACTGTCAATATTTGTTAAAAAATTATTATTAATAATATTGTTATTGTGATACAGATAAACGCTACATCTTCAAATGTTAATGTCACGATGATGCACTAATGAAATCATGACATGAGGTCACGTATATACACAATCACATAATCAAAAGGCATGTGACGTTTATCTTAAAGAAAAATAGCGTTTCATTAATAACAATGTCGAATTGATTTAAAAAATATATATATAAAGACTCACTTTCAAAAAATAACTTTTTACATTGATTTAATATAAGAGGTATTATTATCAGCCATTATGGTATATTAATATTTTAACAAAAATAAATTAAAGAAGTTTTTTTACGTTGATATGCAGGAAATGTTCTAAATAATTCATATTTATGTTATAAAAACTTTTTACATCTGTCCAATGTTCATATGCAGGAAATGCTCTAAATAATCCATATTTATGTTAAATGTATGTTGTAAATCATCCATACAACTTAATCTAACCTGATGAGAAGGGGTTTCCTTAGGGAAACGAGGGGTACCACACACACGGCAACAATGGCGGTGCAACGCCGTGTAAGAGCGCGGCGAGGGGGCGGCGAGGGGGCAGCGTTACCACGTCAAACAAGGAACGAGGAAGAAGCAGAGAACTGAGGTAGCAGCGCACGACATTGAGGACTGAGGTAGCAGAGCACGAAGAAGAAGCAGAAGGACTGAGGTACCAGAGCACGAAGAAGAAGCAGAAGAACAACTGTGCGCCTTCGAGTCTAGGTATCTTAGGACATTCGACGTCGGTTATTAAAAAACCCGACGTGGATAATGCTTTCGACGTCGGGTAAATCCTAGAACCGACGTTAATTTTGGGATTTCAACGTCGGTTATACATGACCGACGTTAAATTTAAACATTTAACGTCGTCTGCTATCTAACCGACGTTATTTTTCCATTACTACGTCGGTTTTGTTATAACCGACGTTAACTTTTGTTTCTCAATTACAAGCTTGCCACCGCGTCTTGTACAACGTCGCTCTTCATAAAAACCGACGTTGGATGCTGTCGTAGTAAGTGTTTTCTGTAGTAGTGGTAATATCTTCATTTTTTTTACATAATTCATAATGTAATATAAACGGATTTCTTAATAAATATTTATAATTCATTTTTTATATATTATTTTATTTTTTATACTTTCTTGCGTAATAAAACAATATAACAAAACCATACATCAATATACATAATTCATAAAACAATTTCAATACAACTATATATTTTTTTAATTAAAGATTGTCAACGAAAATATTAGAAGTCTTACGTCATCTAACTTATATAAGGTGGTATAATTTAAATATATGTTAGATTACTTCACGTATTTCTAATTGATTTTATGTTGAAACTGTTA